TAACATCATAACTAATTTCTTTGTTTTACTTTTTTTTTTTCTTTTAAGAAAAAAAACAAAAAAAAGAACAAAAAAAACAAAAAAAAAAAAAAAAAAAAAAAAAAACGATAAAATTAAACGATTAATAAAACGATTTGAATCATTAATCATTAATAACCTATTAAACTAATTATAGGACAAAAACAACAAAATTAAACGATTTAAATTATTATCACTAGTAACCTATCAAGTTAATTATAGGAAAAAAAACAACAAAATTAAACGATTGATTAAAAGACTAATTAAACGACTTAAATCATTATCATTAATAACTTATCAAGTTAATTACAGGAAAAAGAAACAACAACAAAATTAAACGATTGATTAAACGAATTAATTAAACAATTTAAATTATTATAATTAATAATCCATTAAATTAATTATAATCAGCAAATTTATGATATAATTTAATTTTCAATGAATTCATTTTGGTATTTTGTGATAAACAGTGATAAAAAAAATAATAATAATAATAGAAATGATTTAATCATAGTATCATGTAAATTTCTTTGTGATACATAGTATTTGATGGATAATATTTGATTATTTAATTATTTGATAGATTATTTAGATATTTAATATATTTCATTTATTTGATATTATTTTAATTATTTTTCTTATACTATTTATTACTATTTCTCATTTAATACTATTTGATTATTTATTTTTTTTTTATAACTTTAATTTATTGATACAATAAATAACAATAATAATTATTGTTATTGTTAATTTGATCGATTTAATCATAGTATTATGCAAATTAGTATAAAAATTATATTATATATAATTACTACTATATTATATAATTACTATTAGATTTTACTAGACAAATTACTAGATGTTAATTTGTATAATAATTAATTTTAGCAGACAATAAGCAAGATGAATGAATCATGATAATTTTTTATTAAATATTAATAGAAATTTTCGAGTTATTCTTTCATAATCATTGTATCAAATAAGTAATCCTATTAATTGTTTTTTTTCTCTTTAATGTTTATCATTGCTTATCAATGCTTATCATTATCAGTAATTTATTAAAAGTTACCAAAGTGATAATCATTTTAAAATGGGTTCATTTCAAAATTTCATAAATTTTTTAACACCATTAAAATTCATTTCTTCCACATATGTTTAATATTATTTTTAGTAAAGAGGTGAAAAAAAAAGAAATCAAAGAGTAAGAGAGAGAGAGAGAGAGAGTAACATTTCAATTTTTAAAAGAGAAAAAGGAGTGGTTTAAGAATATCAAGGAAGAGAGAAAGGGAGAGAGAGGGGGAGAAAAAAGAATGATAATAAGAATTGGAATGTTAAAGAGGTAAACGATCGTTGATTTGTTCACTAACAGCTTATATTTGGTAAATTCATTAAATGTCACCGAACAATCAGACGACAAGTTGTTTCGGCGGAAAAAATTACGGTGATCGATGGTATTGGCATCGTAGTAGTAATAGTAGTGGTAATAGTAATGGTAATGGTAATAGTAATAACCGTAATAACAATAGCAGTAATAGTAGTAGTAATAGCACGACGTATTGTTCGTATATTTTGATCAATTTTCGAATTATTCTTATCATTTATTGTATTATCAACCTTATCACTACCAAAGATATTGCACAACACAGGTATCATTTTTTCTTTCTTTCTCTTTCACTCTCTCCCTCTTCCTCTCTTTTCCTCTTTTTACCCATTTATTTAACAATAATATATGAAATGATTAACTAAGAATCTGGTAAATTCATATCAAATTCATACCTTTTTTCCTCTCTCTCTCTCTCCCTCCCACTCTCTTTCTTCCTCTTTTTATTAGCCTTCATTTTTCGATTTATAATTTTAACAAACTTCTTTACAAGATTTAAATATTTTCTGCAAATTAATTAATTAATTAAAATTTTTGATTAAAATATGGTAATGTGCATGATTTTTAAAATATGATAATGTATATGATTTCATATATAGTATATATATATATATCTGCATTAAATTTTTAAAAAGAATTAAAATAAAAAAATGGAATATTTATTTGATAATTGATTTTTTTCATTGTTTATTTTAATTAAAAATTATTCATTATTTATTAATTTTATCAGAAAAAAAAAATTTGCTTTTATTTTATATATTGTAATATGAATTTGATTAAAATATTATTACTATTTTTATTCATTTTTTTTATTTTCCCAATTATTTAATATTAACACACTTATAAGGTAATAAACATTATATTATATTATATAAAAACTATATATTAATTAACATATTTAATTCTATTAAAACATGCCAATGAGAAATTTACTGATTTTTACAAAACTATATTATCAAAAATTACAATCAGATTATGTAATTTAATTGATTAATTAAATGATTTTATTGAAATGATTGTATGCATCATTGGGCACTTTTTTTTTTTTCTTTCATAAATTACATCAAATT